GCACTGCTTTCCTAGATGTCAGGTTGATATGTTTCTAGTAGGCTATGTTAGAACAAATCCTACAAAGACCTTCTGTATGCAAGGTACTATAAACAGCAATGCCTCATTACCAGCTGATATATCTGTTTGGGGAGGGATACTTCAATTTGTGGACACTTTGTGATTTAAATGAAAAAAAAAAAAAAAAAAACACAAAAAACCCCACAAAATATTTTATCTGGAGTCATTTCAGTGCAACTGGCCTGGCCATCATGGAATAATATGCCGGAGTCAAATATTGTATTGCACTGGAGGCATCCAAGACTGTGGTCTGTAAAAGTCATGGCATTCCTGCTAGAAGATGTCATTGCATATTTTATATATTCTTTTTCCTGAGAAATCTCAGCCTAAGCAAATGGAAGCCTTCAGGTATTCAAATCTCTGTAGAGGGACCTATTTAGTAATCATCCTTCTTCCCTCACATGTATCAAGATAGTGAGGAGAGAAATATTACAGTACTACATCAAGATCTGATGTTAATCAGGGCCACTCTGTACTTAAATACTACTTCAAACCACGCATCAGATGGGACACACAAAAAGAGGGTGGATGTAATAAGCAAAGGAAAAAGACACATGCATGTAGCATATTTGTGCTATGGTAAGTAAACTTTGTTTCTATTTTTGTCTGGAGTTAAGGAAGTTTTTAAGTTTGGTTGGAGTGGAAGAGCTGGGAGGGGGTAGCAGAGCACTTGGGTGTTGGTGAATGAGAGGATGTGACAAGCAGTCAGAGTGAAACTGCTATCAGAAGATTCTGCATTTCAGACTTCTTGTAACAGCTTATTTTGTCCATGGCTTCTGGCTGCAGACCCTCCAAGATGCTGCTGTTCTGGGTCTTGTGGGAGATCAGTTCATTTTGCCTCGAAAGCCAAGTTATGTTCATTCCATCATTCTGTGTAATTTTGAGGAGTAGGAGCATGAATGTCCTCAAGAAGTGGTGGAGTCCTGCTCATGTCCAGGGACAAAGAGTGTCTCTTGATAAACCCTGTTCTACAATCTCCTTTTCTAGCGACCAAGGCCCCTTTTTCATGTTTTCTCCGTTGGCTCTGGGTTCTGCTGGTTCTAGCATTGCTCAGCATCTAATATGGCTTGAGTAGCAAAAACACGACCCTGAGTTACAAAGTAGAAAGAAAAATACTTCCAACTGCCAGGTTTTGCACCTGCTTGGCAAACACATGTTTGGGTTTGTTATATTCTACTTGCCTTCCCATTGCCTTGTTCTATCTCAGATATTTCTACTTACATCCACATTGCTGAAATGTACATATTAGTTATTTGGACTCAGAAATAATTTTCTGTTAGTTTTTCTGCTTTCTAGGAAAAGTTAATTCATAACCTTTATTTTACATTAAACCAGGTGCAAACCTAAATTAAAGCTAAAGAAAATAGTTCTTCTTTCATGCTGGCATTTATCTTGTTTGAGAAAGTCCTGCAGATGAATGTATTGATGCCAGTAACCTAATGATTTTTTTTCCCTATTGTGTAATGATTACATAGCTGCTATTTTGAAAGGAAATTTTTGCAGATCACTTCTTTAATGACTAGATCAGGAAGAAGAATCACTTATACTATTAAAAGTAATCTGAAAATTGATTATGGTATCCACAATCAGCATATTTTTTTTGCCAGTCCATTTGTGCTGTGGAGCTGGTTTTCCTACTGGGAAGTAATTCATTATTCACAGTTGGAAAATAAATAAGGCATGTTTTTTCTGTGCTAATAAATAAGTATGCCAAGAGGAGTCCTACAGTCGATAGCAAATTAAGGTTTTTTGGGGTCATAGATGGATAGAATTAACAATGTGTATGCCTCATACACACAGAATGCTACTGGTTGTCACAAGCAGTTATGAGGTCTGTTACACTGAAGTTAGGTACTAGGTGAAAAGCCCAAGTGATAGCATGCTTTCCACCTTGGGTTTGAGTTGGAAGAGGGGAAGACTCATGAGTTAGATACAAGTCAAATTTTTTGGCACACCTGCAGCTTTCAAAAGTGTTTATTATGATTTGAAGAAGATCTTGAAAAGGCAAATTTGAATTAAAACTTTTTTTAAAAAGAATTTAATAGCATGTCTTTGACTTAGTACTTCAAAATTTTGTTTCAAGTATGAAAATTTCAGATTAAATTTTCATAATAAATAAATGTAAACGGTTTTTGCTCCATTTTCTTATTCCAGTGCAGCATAATTACAACCTCATTTGAGTACTTTGAGTGACATACTCTCCTCAATGCTGTTGTAGATTAATAAACTTTCCTAGCTGATAATAACACCTCAAAAACACTTCTGTCTCATTAATACTTGTGTTATAAGCTCTCAAGCAAGCCTGGCATATAGGTAAGGAGGAGGGAGGGGGTTTAAGTTCTCTTTCTTCAAAAGCTTCAGATGTATTTTTCAGTATGCCTCCACTGGCATTCTTTGAACGCCACGGAGAAAAGTTTTGGAAAGACAGATTTGTGCAAAGCACCAGGAAGAGACTGGCTGTAGCTCTCACTGCCTCCGGGAACAGAGTACCTCTGCGCTGAGCAGCTGCTCTGCAATCATCTCCAGCACACAGGTGAGTAAAGTTACACATTTACAGAACCCAAATTCATCAATGCAGTTTCCGAGGTTAACTAAGATTAAGTTGCAGATAGAAAAGAAAACTTAAAAGGATCTTTCTGTTGTAGATGCTTTCCTGACCCACATAGTTGTTTTGCGTGATGCACTTATCCTGGCAGAAAAGCTGGCTTAAGAAATTTTGTCACCATATTTTTCCACCCACTCAGTAGTACCGTGATGAGAGTTTGTGGGGTTGTCTTGCAAAATGGTACAATGAAGTAACCAGGGCTAAAAATAAACCTTTTTCCCAACCCCTTTTTCTGTGTGCCACTTCATTTTATCTGACAGTAGATGCTTTGGATTAGAACCAAAGCATCTTTCAGCAGTAAATAGAAGCTGTTATCAGCCATATTGAAAAAGCTTCACCTAGTTTCTAGACAAAATATTCTGCATGCTGGAGGTGCCAGCTGCATAACTCAATGCTAAATGCACAAATGTAGATATTAAAATACAAGATAAACTAGTTTTTCCCTTGAATTTACACATGCACACTTCCTTTATTCTATATCTTTTATCAGAAGTACCAAAGATAACATTATGTTAGCTTTTAAGCTAATAGAATTATTTAATATAATGAAATAATATCCTTAAGTATAAATTATTTGCTTTAATAGATCCTTTCATTCACCTGAATTTAAAGGTATTTGTCATGTTCTCACTAACTCTTAAAGGTGATAACTAAGTCATCTGGGTGCCATCAGAAATGGGGATTGCCTACAGCACTTTGTGACATTTATCTTTGCCATCATCTTGTTTTTAATTGTACTTGGCAATCTAAACGGCACTGGAAACTACTTCTGTAAGGTAGATACTGAGAAGCAGGTGAGCTGATGCATCGTGCTTTTGTTGCTGACAAATGGAAAGGAACAGTGCTTTAGGCTTTAAATTTGACTGTGTCTTCCTTACAAATTGCAGTTCAGCTGTTCTGAACACCTGCCCAGTGATGCTCAAACCTGATGTTGGTTCTAGGAAATGTGGTTTGACAGGTTCTTATGAAGTTCCTAATTTAACCTATTCATGTTCTATTTGAGGGGTTTTTTGTGTTTGTTTTTTTTTTTTTTTTTTTTTTTAAGTTCTAGCACTGTAATTTTGATATTATCCAACTGAACATGTTTGCAGGACAAATTTGTCTGGCCTGACTGATACCTTTGCATTTGAAACATCTGTCCAGGGAGTAAGACTGGATAAGTCGAGAAAACAGAAGCAATGTTTTGTCTTCCACTTCTCTGGCCAGTAAGTGATTCTGGGTTAGAGCCCGAAATTAGTACTAGATAACATACAGTTATCTATAGCTGTAGAATTTTTTTTAATAATTGAAGGCAAATGAGTTTCAACATGGTCCTTAACTTGATGACATAACTGCAGATCATTTTATTTAACCCATGCTTATAATCTTCCTGAAACAAGCCTTACTTGATATACATGGCACTGGTATTGCATTAATGCAACTGCGCCTGTAGAGGTACTGGTGAGATGCATTTCTTACACACCGTAGTGTCCTGGATTGTTTCCCATTGATGTTGTGGGATGTCGGGGCCACTGCAAGTGTCATCTTTGACCTCGGCCTTCTTCCATTGCTCCTGGCAATGGACTTATACTACTGTTAAGGCAAAAGTAGGAAAATACTTCTCACAGGATGGAAAAATTTAGGAAAGATTTCAGCAAGATGACAATTAAATGTGTGATAAAGAAAGATAGGAGTAATACTTGGCATCAATGTAACCTATATACAATCATAGTCTCTTTGGCTTTGGATAAGATTCATCAGGTTGACTGGAAAAGGATGCTGACAAGCATGTACACAGTAGCTAAACAAGTCTCATCTTCATAAAACGCCTTTAAGTGAAAGAATACAGAAGTCTGCAATGTTGGTTAAGTAGCTCAAGGCATACTATATCACTTGCCATAATTTTATTATATGCTTAGCCAATTATTATGTATCATATTAGTACATTGTAGGAAATTAATAAATGTTTTTGCATGGGCTTTGAGACTTGTTTCACCGTTCTCCACTCCATTGGGGATTTACAAATCCAAGTCACTTGTCTCCCTCATCTGAGCAGGATGTGACCCACTGTAGGTATAGAAAAGCAGTTCTTTATGTCATATCAGAAGAGGGGCTTATCTAGTCTTGAAAGGTAACCAGTTAGGACAGAGTTTAAAATTTAAAGAAGAAATGTTCTGATTTCAGAGAGGATGGCTGAGTTCTAAAACAGACACATCTGTAACAGCAATTTCAAAGAGTGTAGGGAAAATTTGGGTTGCGTGTAGGTTTCTATACTACAGGTCCTCACCACATGAGGGAAGAGGAAGTTAACCCATGAATCTGACATGCTTTCATTTGTTGTTTTGCTGATCTTTGACAAAGACACTCTGATGCAAGTCCTAATAATCCTGCATGATGATCATAATTTCACTGAAACTTACTCTAACCATGTGTTTTGGCTGCTTAGGTAAGTGCTGTTTATTTTCTTTGTTTTGTTTGTAGTTAGTCACCTGTAATTCTTGAGCTGAATTTAGAAAAATTTCTCACAATATATCCACCTCAAATAGATTTGTGTGTGAGACAAGGAGAATTTTAACTATATTTTCATAATGCTGAAATCATAAATTAAAATGCATGGGGAAACAAAAAGCATTTTCACAAAGAGATTGTTGTCAAAAAAGTATAGAGGAACAAATCATACACTTTGACACCCAAAATTATGTTAGGTTAATGCAGGCACTGTTTTTCTTAGACCTTCAAACTTGAATATGTATTGTGACAAACACTGAATGTAGAATTTTAAAATGCTAAGGAGGTTTTGTTCTAGATCACATAGGTACTGAAATACAAAGCAGATAAGGTTTCATGTTTCTTACTCTATACAAATTCCATTGGATACTACTGAAGGTGTTCAGTATAAATTAAAAAATTGAACAACAGAGAGGGGAAAGTTTAAGAGATTAAACAAGAGCAAAAGGATTTTTCAGTGATATTTTTCAGAAAAACAGTAAAGTCACAAGATGGAAATGTAGCACAATGTATAGCACAACTGTATTTTAAACAACAAACCAAATGAACAGAAAACCTGAAATCAGTGATCAGTTCTCTGACACTTGAACAGCTTCTAAATTGTCATTTACACACTACATCAATTCTTTCCTTTTTTTATGATGTTTATATTACCCCTATACTGTCCATATTGTTCTCTGCAAGTTGTTGATTGCTGCATTGTGGAAAAAACAGAGGTGCCCAACTCCTTTTGGTATGATAAATATGTGGCCTTTTCTAAGGGCAAAGGAAAAAAGTTTATTTGCATAATTCTGATAAAACTTATCGGATGCAGCAGATGCCGTTTAAGGACCAGATAGAGGCAAAATCATCCCATTATTTATATGCTGCTGTGAAATGTGCCTGAGTTATAAACAGCCTAAAATTTGGAGGAAAAACATGCAGTTTAGTCTCATTATTCTCTAACAGTGTGAATGCTAGAAAAGAAGGAAATGATAACTCTTCATGCAGCATATGAAACTAATGGTCTTGGCAGTCATGGGGATAGACATTTTATAGGATTAACACATTTGTGATGAGCATCACTGTCATTAGGATAAAAAATGTTATGTGATATCCACAGGGTGGTTTCACTTCAGAAGAAAATATTCTATACAGTATTATGCAATATCTCATGTAGATCGCTGCCTGTGGACAGTGAGTGGTAAAGAGATTCAGAGCAGGAAAGAGTAAACAATTCTTGTTTCCTCTGATACTGACTCAACTGTAGCTAAAAGCCAGGCAACAGACCTGATGAGACAACTGTGCTCTGCAGGGCATATTGTATACTTATTAAACTAAGGAGGTGAATTTGGTGCTATAAACTACTTGTCAGCAAAAACTTAATGGAAGAAGTTCAAACAAAATTAAAGAACCCACTTCAGAAATGCTGTAGATTAATCACTAATCAGAAGCAGTGCAGGACAAGAACTCCTCCATGGTGACAAAAGTCATAGAGGATTTTGCTTTCATCTTGATGAGTCTTCCACTATTCACTGATGAATCATTCTAAGTTACTTCTTTTGGTCATTCTTTATCTGGCAGATAAATTGTTTAATATGCTTCAGACTCAACCTATATTATAAAAGTTTTTTATTGAAAATAAAAAATAAGTAAATCAGCAAATACACAGAAAATCTTCATTTATTGAATGCCAACAATGATGGAAAGCTTTAGCACACCACATTAGAAGTTTCCTTTAGCCAGAAAGTAATTTTTTTTAAGGGAGAAGTGGGTAGTAACTAATCTTAAAAAAATAATCTCATAATGATTTTACAGCATTGGCATTATTTTAAATACTGTGATTGTAGACATTACAGCTTTAATGTCATCTCTTTGCTGCTTCAACTTTCAAATTTATGTGTATTTCTCCACTAGCTGCAGGTCCCAATAATTTAACAGTCACCCAGACACCACAGAGAATACATCTATCAATTGGAGACTACGCTGAAATTGCCTGTATTTGGGAAAAATCTGCTGTGAGGTATAGAGTAAGCTGGTATCTTGTTAATAAAGAGAACATCACCAAAACTGTATCATCAACACTTCTTTATGTATCCAACATCACCCATGAAAGCGAGGATGTACTAGTGATAAAATCTGCCAATGTAAATCACGCTGGATTTTACTACTGTGAGATAATTATTGAAATACCTTTCTATAAGAAAGCATGTGGAAATGGGACAACAGTGATTGTTGAAGAGAAAGGTAAGCTGTCGAGAGCATATGCATGCTACTTAACTTGTCATCATAAAGATTTTTCAGTTTGAGCTATTTTATACATTTCTTCCCTCTCTCACATCCCTCCCTCAATGCTGTGGCTCTCAATCTGAAAGAGACAAACACAGAGAGGACCTGAACGGCTCTTAATGACAACTGACTTAAGCTCTCTGCCTTAATACCCCCAGTGTAATGGGTTTTTTCTTCTATAAGGGTTTGCTAATGGGAATTATTAGTTAGGGTTCACAAAAAGCTGTGCATCAGCCATGTATTTCACAAAAGACCCAAACACAATTCCTTCTCCGAAAGGATTTGGTAGGCTGGATGTGAGACAGTGAATGAATCTGCCTTGCAGTAAAGAGTGGCTGAAAGAATCACAAGGTTACTCTGTTCAGTAATATGTACCCTTTACTAACCATTTTATCTTTTTGTTACAAATTCTTAATAAGAAGTGGGAGCTAAATCAATATGGAAAACGGAGCAGTATGGGCTCTATATTTATAAGGATTTGTGCCCATAAAGTTGTCATGACAGGATGTTTTATGTAGGCTGTGTCTCCTTATTTTGTTATTGTCATACAGTAACCTTTACAAGGGAGAAATTTAAGGTCCAAATTTTGAATTAAGCATGAGCATTCAAACACAGTTAAATTTTCCAGCAACAGCAGTGAAGTATCTTTCACCTTAAGTTATGAAAAGAATGCGACATACCCAGAAAACAATTTACCTCACTTCTGTTACACAGCTGTCTCAAGCACTATGTACTCAAGCTCTTCTTGAAGATACTGATCTCTGCCTCTCTCTTTCTACATCTCAACTGTAGAGAAAGACTAAGGGACTAGCTCTAACTAGATCTTTAACATTATCAAATATATCTCATATATTGACTGGTCAACTCACAGGAAGTAACCTTTCCGTTCATCCAGCACAGTCCAGTTTATGACACTATTTTACACTATTGGCCAAGTGGTAGTCCAAAGGGAGGGACAAAAATGATCAAGGATTTAGAAAGCATCAGTGGCAGAGAATGAATGAAGTGGTGTTCAAAATGGGGTAAATGAATGTAAAACACGCTGAGAAAGTTAAAATAATCTGAGCTCATAAAATTAGTTGAATGATTAGATCTCTTACTTGGTCAAGTAGTAACACCCTTAAAGTAGAAGCAGAAAAGACTCAGATTAGACACTGAGGGGGAAAAAACCGTCAAACTGCAGGAGTTATAGGAGGATTTGATGTTACTGTTCATGAGGCATGCATTCCTCCGTAATGCTAAAGTGTAGATGACCTTGCACTTGGGGGATAGGGGGAATGGACTGATTCACTCCTGAAGTCAGTTTTAATTTTTAATTTTAATTTCTTTTTTTTTTTTTTTTGCTATGGTGTTGTTCTTCTATTGTATCTTTGAACAGTACATAACTTTATTTAAAATGTATCATTGCAGAAACTCACTCATTGAAAAAAGGAGATCTGGCAATATGGGCTATCATTCCTTTCTTAGTGGCAGTGGGAAGCTTATATCTTTGCTACAAAAAAAAGCAGCACTCAAAACGTTCTGGTGAGTGACAATATTTCCATTAACACATAGTCTCAAAATTAGATGTTTGTTTTAAGATGGTTGGACAGGTGCACTAAGAGGAATTTCAGTGTATAACACTTCCTCACCTGGTCCTTATCTGCTAGGGGCACTTCAAGCTGAGAGGAGGGGTCAGAGGCACAGCTTGTAGTTCAAAGTGAACATTTTTGCAGTCACTTGCCTCCGTTATTTACCTTTCCAGGAAGAGTGATCTCTTAGACTAAAGATCTTGACCTGGCTAGGGTATTAAAGGATATCAATTCTGATAATTTTGTAGCAGACTGAAAAAGTGAGGAGCCAGAACTTAGCTCTGCATCATAGTCTTACTCCTGCAAGTGACATCTGAAACACCTGGCCTAGGAGACTTTGTTCTCAGCTGTTTTTCAAGCTGTGAATTTTTTTAACTAATTAATAATTTGGGGTTTTTGCAAAAATCTTGAAATGAAGGATAGAAGTCACAAGAAAAAACAGCAAATGGCAAGGGTACAGAACAAGTATAAATGTAAGGCATCTGCAGGCTGTGGGTACAGATCAGTGACGTATAACCTAAGGCAGCCTCTTAAGTAACTGTAGCATGAGTATTATGGTTAGCATGTGAGGCTTACTCAGCTTGTGAGCTGTTGGGGATATAGATGAAATATCTATTACTTGAGATGCAATTCAACTTGCAGATTAAAAAGGCAGGGAGAAGGAATTTAGACAAATTAGGTCCTTAAGCTACTATTTCGGTCATTGGAGTTGACACAGGCAACTGTATGAACTGACCCTTTGTAGCTGTCTACTTCAGGGTGAGCTGATCAGTTTTCATGGCACAAACTCTATTGACCAGCTCTCCATCACATAAGGGCTGTTCAGAAACCTGAAGGTAGTTTATTTCATCTGCAAGATGAATACCACTCTAGAGCCTGTCATCAAGACTAGCTATACAAGAGCTCTGCACTCTTCATTTCAGAGCTTTATAGAGCTCTGGTAGGGTACCAGCATGACTCTGGAAATGGACAGTGAGCAAGCAGTGACTGTAACTTGGTTTTTGATAAGGTTCTGCACAACTTCCTGTGCCGGCCAGAAAGCATCAGGAGGAGGAGATGCTCGAGGCTGCAGAACTTCACAGGAGAAATGTATCCACCAATGAAGCAGCTGAGGAAAACACATCATGCAATTCTGTTGAATGGGTAAGTGGTTTATAAAAAGACATTTGCTATGAGAGAAGGACTTTCAGAATGAGGAGCTGGGGAGTGCTCTGAACAGAAAACACAAAACAAGCTTCTGTTTCTAGGATGGTATCTTACTACACATAAAAAAGGTTTAAAGCAAAGAAAATCTAAAAAGTTTTCTTGCAAGAGGCAACACCCAGAAATAAGAGGAAGCACATTTATGTAGTAGGAAAATATTGGATTCTGTTGTTATATTTAATGACACTCTAAAATTGCCTGGAGAAACGCAGCAGAAAGTATAGAATATCAATATATAGAACCTGCATGGAAAGAGTGTAGAAGAAGTAAAAAATGGCAATAAAGCCCATTTACATATAATTGTATACTAAGCTCAAGGGGCTTAGACCAGCTTCATCTCATAGGGCAACACCTGCTGAGAGCAGGTAGCAGATTTCAGGCAAACTCCCTTTTCCAGGAAGTTATTCATCTTTTAGTTACATTAAAACATAAAGTGAGCAAGGGAAAGAAGCCCTAATTTAACTCTTGCATAGGCAGGCACAACTTCCATTACAGTCAGCTGGACAGGCTCGGACAAGCCACACAGAGGTGATGTGAAATGCTAAAGCCCATGGTCACAACTGCAGTTATTGATCTTACAGATTGATGAATTCTGTTAGATAACCCGACTTCAGTCTTGATTTGTTCATATTGGTACTGAAATCATGGTGAGAGACAATATCAGGATGCAGGTAGTAAAACAGTATCTATATTTTCTTGTGCAATGGTCATCATTCTAAATAAAGTATAGCTGGCAAAATTAATTCCCCGTAATATGTAGATTTCTATTCAAGCTAAGAGACTTGCTTTTACAGGAGACATCATAGTAGAAAATTTTAAAAATACAAGGCATGAGATGTTCTGGTCATAGTAATAAAATATTATAATTGCTAGTTATAAATGGATAACTCTTCTACTTGTTAATATTTAATGAAGGCATATGAAAACAAGGTTGAGAATGAGAAAGTAAGCATCACAGGTGGTGCAGAGTGAAGAGTTCATTAGTAGCCATTAACTGCTCAGGGTTTGTATGGATAACAAGACTCATCCAAAGGATGTGTGAAATCAATTATAAAAGGTCTTTTGTTGTTGCTTTATAATTTAGCAGCTGTTAGCCACTGTGATGTGTCATGATATAGGTTCAGTGTTTCCTTTCATATAACAGAACTTTTTGCTATTTTAATAAAAGCAGAAAGAGTGATTTCATAGTGGCATCATTTTAAATGTTAAAGCATAATTGGATCTTATACGTCATTCAAGAGATCCAGTAGTTTACTAAAGTCAATGTATACAATGTGCATGGACACTATATTTCAAACAAATTAAGCCAGAAGTGATGAGCAAATATTATGGTGTCTCTCTCTGACTTTCAATTGTGTTGCAGAACATGATCCGTACAATTTAACATTTTTTCTGCTGTTTATGCAAAAGTAAGTCATTAAAAAGTTCACACTAGTTTTTTACATTGTTTACACTTTTTTTTTAAGCTTGGAAATTTGCCATACATTCTGGATAAGTTTGGGCATCATTTCTAGAACAGGGAACGTGAAGGTTCTGTATGCATCTGCAAGGCTATTTACAGGCACCAATTTGTCACATTATTTCCAATTCTCGGGGTTGTGAAGGCACTCTTGTATCACAGAATTTGAATCAAGGCATGGATTTTATTCTCACCTTCATTGTACGTCATAACAACACTGAGCAATTAGGTCAGGTGTCAACATCTAGCTCCAAGTATCTAAGTTAGCTCAACCTGAGAGGGAACATCCCCATAGCAAAGCTGGCCACTGTAGCTGTTCTTTTTTATATAGCACTTGTCTCTACCTGTCTGGAGAGTCATCCCATATTTCCTGAGTTGAGATGCTCAGGCACCATTTCCCAGACAGTTCTGCTAACTGCAGGGGAATTTGGCCCTTGAGGGAATTCTTGGAGCAGTTGATTTTTTCGTTGCTAAATTCTGCACATTCCAGACCAAACCTAAGCACTGCTGTAGCATAAAGTACACACTTCCAGCTCATGGAACCACACAAAAAGCACACTCCTGAGGGGCTTTGGTTGTACAAAAAATAATAGAAGCATCATCCAGATTAGTTGGCCATACCTACTATGTCTTCTGTTTGACACGCAGCCAGCAGGTACCTCTCTCTGTTCTGAACACTGTTCATTAAAACAAAAATAGTAAACCCCTGTAGTAAAATATAAGTGTGAAGAGAAGAAGCTACCCTTTTCATGACTTCCACCTTTTTATTGTTTTATGCCATGTAAACTTGAGAATTTTATTTGATATATCTGTGAGCACAGGTATTTGTGCACATTTCATGGAGATCTTTAATTCCCAGATTTTGCTAAAGGACTTACCTGAAGATCTCAAATCCTGCGTGTGCTTAGGAAGTGAAAACAGGAAGATTTCTGCACAGTCCAGAATAACATCTGAATACTGCATCAGTTTGCTAGTTTACTGCATCAAAAGAGCATCCATCTAGAAGGAACAGTGTGATAAAGCTTTTGGGAAATATTGGAGTTAAATGATTAGGGGATAAAAAAGCTTTGCCATTTCAGATTTCATAGAACCTGGTTTACACTGGAACTTGACATCTTTGGTATTCTAAATTAGTACTTTGCACCTGGCACCTAATTAACTAAGAGAATTGAATCCAAACATAGAAAGGCTTTGCCTTTCAGTGTTAGTACTGAGACAGTCTTTCCCTCTGAAATTATAATTCCTTCCATGGCCTGTGTTTCTCCCTGTTCTCTCAGGCTGTGCTAGATGCTGTGTCTTGGGTAAAAGTTCATTCTAAATAGACTTTATGGATAAAAGTTATTTTGACTGGAGTTTTCTTTGCTTTTTAAGGCTGTGTCTACACTTTATGAATCACTAGATTCATTTTTGAAATGAATCAAGAGGAAAAGATGACAAATCCACTGTGACTATTGTACCCAATGGAGCAGATGAGCTAATTCTACAAACTAGGGCAGCTGAAAAGTCTAGGACAAGAACCCACTGCCTACTTTGGCATTATTCAGAACTAAAAGGACGATATAATTAAACAATATATGGTTAAATAACTATGAAACTGAAAACAATGTGATAATTTGCTGATGAAGGATGGATTACATGAGTTTCTTGTCAGAAGCATGTCAGTGGGACAATATACAAGAAAAAAGATTGGTTCCAAGCAGTCTCTGAATGTTTTGTCACTAACAAAACACTGTAAGGGGTCTGAATTTGGAGGGTATGTCATTTTAGAAGACTGTCTTCAACTCTTCCCCCTGCGTCCAGAAGCCATAAACTATATATTATCACACTTCAAAAAAATCTTCTGGACTGAACAAGATTCTCCCAACAGAAGCATTTCTTCAGGAAGCCCACGTATAACTATCAGAAGGTAGGGAAGAAGTGCACATGATGGTAATCGTTTGACCAAATAGACAGTACTACCCATAGGATGGAGTCTGATCTCTGAAACTATCATCAGTGCTGACCACATCATAGCCAGAGTGGTTTGAAAGAAAGGATTATATTCCTGTGGAAACGGACTGTTAGTGTTGAAGTGCTAATTCATTCACACACTAGGAAGAGTCTTCCAGAGAAGGTAGTCTCCTATGCACAATGAAATACTAGGTTTAAATGAAGCTATATATATATATATATTTATTATTATTATTATTAATAATTATTGTCTAACTGGTGAAGGAAGGATGCTTGGACAAGATGGGAGTGTTAACACTTGTTCCACTTTTGCCAGCTCTAAAACTTTAAAAAAAAATCACTAAAGAAAAATCAAAACTGAAAATATAAGTAAAACCTGGCTTCCAAGGTGTGAACGGAGGTGAAGAGTATTGACAGCAGAGCTAATGGCAGTTGTCCAAGGACTGCTGAATACTCAGAGCAGGTATCTGAAATGTGAATATTTTTATGTACCGGAGTAATTTCATCTTCTGTTAAAGTCTTTTCAGAGCTCAGCTGGAGGTTAGGTCATCTTGCCAGCAAGAAACGTCTTCACTGCTCAGGAAGTTTGTTGCAGTTTGCATCTGGGGAGTGCAGTAGGCACAGACTGACTTTCCCAGAGCCCTTAAAAACAGTTTGCATAGTCTAAATGTGTGACTGTCTTGTTACTCAATATTCTGTAAAGAAATCTTTGAGGCCATACATCATGGCTTGTGTTCCAACTCTGTCTATGCTATAGTAACTACAGTTCTCAAAGCTATCTCTCAAATTACTGTAGCTCAGCCATGGCTCACTGTTTGGTGTGGATCCTCTTTCCTGGGCTGTTCTGTAACCTGCCCTAAATGTCCTTCTTCAGTGAATATACTTTTGTCCAAAATATGCTGCACAGTGAACATACCCTGTATGAGAGAGACTATTTGTTATATAGTGCATCTCATTATACTTACGTATAAATTGAATAAAGCAAGAGGATTTTCTTTTCTTCCTTTTGAAGTTCAGTTATTTAAAATCTTGATGGATTTTGTCCTGAAACTCATTATCACAAATTTGTTTCCTTTACTGCGTGGTGATACACTGTCTTGTGTCATATTCCTTTGAGGATCACAAACAAGACTCTGGATTTCTACAACCCCTGTAACTATGTTCCCTGCACAAGGAAGTCATAATTAGTAAAAAGGGTGATGACCTTCAACCCAGATCACTGATCAAGGAAGCTCTCAGTTATGCACCATCACTGTGAGTGCAGTAAATTTCGATCTTTCTGTCTATTACTGGTTACTTCTCTGTTTAAGCACGATGAGGAGCTGTAGAGAATTAAGGGAACTGTTAAAGGAAAACCACTAAATGAAGAGATTGCCCCCAACCCACAGTTTAATAGTCCCAAAATCATATTTTTATTACAACACTAGTAATAAATTGTTGATTAAATTGGTTTCTACCAGCAAAGAATGCTGCTATATTAACAGCTGCTCATATTTTGTATGCTAACATAGTAATTTCCAACATCTGGCAGTTGAAGACTACACTCAGTTTATCATGACCTATTTTTATCTATGGATGACAGTGGCTATGAACTAGCAGAATATTTTCACAGCTCCTGATGGTTGTCCTACTCAGCGAACAAGAGTTTGACACCTACGCATCATGTGTATCATCTCTGCTTCTGTACCACTTGGGCAGCAACAAACCCTGATGAGGATAATCGAGGGCAGGCAGACTTCTGCTGTTTCTTCTTCATGGTTATTTTGATAGCTTTGAAACAGAAAAGAGCTCCGTAATTAACCTCAGCAAACATTCTACTGTCCAGTATGATCTCAGTTTTAACTGTCTGTTAACTGTTCACTATATAATGAAGCCCATCTGCCTAATAACAGAACTTGAAGAGAATCCTGGGCCTTTGCTTTTAGCCAGTTTTGGTGGTTATTCTCTCTTGAACAGGCTTCTGCAAAGTGATGGTTCTATTCTGGTTTAAGTCACAGTAATTTAAGAGCAAGACTTGCATAATATATTCTAAAGCCTCACATGTGTTCTGCCCTGCTTCTGTGTCTCATCAATGTACTTGGCCTAGTCACAGTCCTACAAATGAGGCTTCCTCTCTGTTTCTGTCATGCTCATGACCCTGGGTTGGAGAGCTAGTATAGTCAACTTGAGACTACGGCTCTGAACTGTCTGTCTTCCTGCTCCATTGCACAATGATCAAAGGAGTTACAATTTGATTAATCAGCCCAGCACTTAGGCAGCTAGTCTTAGAAACTGGGCATGGATTATTTCAGTCTGATTTTAACCATACTTTTTTTTGAGCCATGGGTTGGGATTCTTTCCTCTCACAGTACCTGCGGAAGAAGAGTATGGAGCAGGTATTCCTGGCTCCATTGCATCTAGGATCCTTGGAAGCAGACAGGATGATGAGACACCTCAACCAACGTATTGGCAAAATAGTCATGTTTGTGTGTGATGCTATGATTAATGTTCTTGTACCTGATAATGGTGCTGTCAGAACAGCAGTGATATTTACCAAAAATTTTTTGAAACATGATTTTATCTGAGGTGGTTTCTCTGTACTGCTGACATCAAGAACCGCTGCAAAACTGCCACTATTCTCAAAAACTCAACAGCTACAGCCTAGGCTTAAATAGACCTAAGGATGTCTTCATTCAACTACTTAAGAACACTCACAGTTTTAACACTTTCTTCTACTAGGCAGGTGCAACTCTGGAGATAGATAGGCTAAATCTATAGAGAAAGTCTGATCTGTGCAAACAGGAAGAGTTTTGTTTGAATTGTATTTTTCACCTAGTCTCTAGCATTGCTTGGGAAATAAAGTTGAAATCAATACTCTGTCCGAGCTAAAATGTTTTTACCCAATTCTCTATTAAAGACTGTGATCTTTAAATAGATCCCGACTTTAAGGCAAAATAACACCTGAGGGGAAATTGAAGCGTGTCATGAGGCCCACAGGGTCCATGTTTCCACTCACCTAAAGAGGTTGTTATGTTGGCTTTATTCTGCCTCGAAGAACTGGGCTTTCAAACTCAAATGCAATTTTGTGCGCTGCATCTATTTCACCATCAGGCACCAAATCAAGATATAATGACACATCCTCTATAAGTAACAGCAGAAATAAACCAGAGAGTAAATCTATAAAATGATCAAAATTTGTTTTTTGTCATCATGTTTATCTTGGGTATTTATAATGAGGGGCAGCAGTAAAGGTGGTTTTTATTATTATCACTTTTAATAAGCGGTCTTGGCTCAGTAAACAGGAAGCTGCAATACAACTGACAAACGAATACGCAGATCAAAAGAGCATTAACCAATTTCTCTGATCAAGAGAAAGGACAGTTGGCAACGCATAAATGCTTCTCATTTTCTACATAATATGAAATACTGAGATAGGAGGAAGGGTTTTGATAAACTACTACATTCTAGTAACAAGGCTTTGGCTAGGTTGCTGTGGTCTGGTGCTGGGAGCTAGTGGATTTTGTTAGCTGATAAGATGTGACAACAATTAATTCTGTGTCCTTTTTCTAGAGCAGACTCAGTTGACAGGACACAGCAACGTCTTATACAGCTAGAGCTGCTCTTATCAAAGTTACTTCATAACTTTGTCTTGGGAAGTATTCAACTCCACAGAGGTAGAGTATAAAAATTATAAGGCAGAGAGGGAGTAAGTGTTTAACGTTGTTAGTGGACTAAAGACAGACAGAGGTTAGAGCTATAACTAAGCAACTTAAGCATTCAAAATAAAAGCAAGTAATTGGATCTGTCATGTGCGTCTGCTCTGAAATACTTTATGTTCTGTTACCTGCTGATGTGCTTGTCTTGCCCTAAAGTTGAATGACTGGCTCTGTGAGCCGGGAATGCTGTATCTATACATTGCCTGGCATAACCAGATTGCAGTCCACAGCTCGGGCTTCTGAAACTGCTGTGGAAATAAATCATGAAAGCAAGTAATATGTATTGCTTCCTTTTTTTTGCCATATAGCTTTTAATTCCGGAAAGAGAAAAGACAAGATCAACATCTCTAACGTAGACAGCAGAAAAAGGTCAGGTATTAAGGTGATAGACACTCCAAAAATAGTAGTGGACTGATTGAGTTTGGTCAGATTGAGTAATTTTCTGACTGCTATCAAGCAGGAAAGGAAATTGAGAGAGTAGCTACGATTTCATTCAAGCTCTTCAGGGGAAAAAAATGAGCCAATTGCCTCTGAGTGGAAAGAATAACAACTGGTGTCTTATCTAACCTTCAGATCTGTAATGTGGTAGCAAAGTAATGTGAACGGTGAGCCTAGGCGCTGACCATGAGGACCTCAGACAGGCACAGACCCTTTCCAAGACATCATAGCCAGTAACCATCACACAAATGGCTACTCTATTAAGTACACTCAGTAGGTACTCCATCTAGATAGAATTAAATACATTTAAAAGATAAATTTTGTCCAAAATAATGCAGCTCCTGTATTTATATCAATGACGATGTTTCCTCAACACACTCAAGCATATTCTGGCTTTAGGCAAAAATCTGTTCATCGTTGGGTTCATGTTCATGTCCAAGACTCTCCCAGTTCTGTGCAGGTCCATTTTGTATTTCCTTGTTTGTTGAAGGTGGTCGCTTTTTCTGAGAAGCAAAACCTGAAGCCAAATTGTTACAAATACATGTTCTGATTCCTATTTCCCACTCCACCTTTTGGTATTTCTGAGCCTGGTGTGCTCATTTGCTGCATCATTAACAATGACAGAACAATGTCAGCGTTTACCTACTGAAAAAGCCCTATGTTTTCTTATCAGTTACACTACACCCTGTGATTACTTTCTGGAAACCAAACAAGCCAGGTCTGTGAAATGTGTGTGCCTGGGGAACTTCCAATTGATCAAACTGCCTTGTAAATCTTCCTGACAATGTATATAGACAGCATCTCACTTCACACACAGTTCTGTGATAATAGGTCAACCTTTCTAATTTCTTCAATGTATGCATAAATTGATATTTTAAAATGCAAAACAAAAATATTTTTATGGTGGACGCAAAAGGTTTTTCTTGATGTATTGCCTGCACAGACACTCAACAGGAGGCCGCTTTCTCTCTGGGATTCCTTCCCTCTGAGGAAATGTTTTTGTACCATGGAGGAAAAGTAGTACTGCTTAGTTCATGAGAGCTTAACACAGACAAAAATATTCTTTGCATATGAAAGTACTTTTGAAAGCTTTTCTAGCATTGACTTAGTCTTTCTTGTGTGTCTTTACCTTTCTCTAACAAATAGGAACTTCCTTTAAGAGGTTCACTCAGTCTGTTTTAAAGTCTACAAAACAACTTGATCCTCTCACAGCTCATTTCTTTTTTATTATTTTTTTCTTTCTTTTTGTCTTTCTCTTTTTCATCTTTATCTTCTTTTTCTTTGTCTTTTTTTCCTATTCTTTCTGACCATGCCATAGAACAACTTTCTACAGTGGTGATCACAGCTCAGCATGATGGCCCTATATCTGAATAGGATCTTATAAGCATTAAAGAAGAGCAAATGGCAATTGGACTGCCTGTGTGAGACCAGCTGAGGAATCACGGTACTTAGAAATCATGACTAAAACACTTGAGTGGACAATATTCAGTTAGTATAGGGTGTGACCTCTATTTCTGCCATTATAACAGAAAAACAAAAGTGGTTTTGGAAGCCTTCGTGTCACGAGCCTTAAAACTGAAGTATAAAAAACCCTGTAAAGATTATCATCCAAGAAATTATTCAGTCAAGGATTGAAAACTAGACAGAAGTATTTACACTGTAAATATTAATTTATTGGCTGTCATATATTCATTGATTTTACAGTCTTATATGGCTATGTCAAATGTATTAATAAATGTGTTTGAGTAGAGTCAATATCAAATGATGAAAGTGTGTTTCCCATGGTACAGCTTTGCCAGAAGACAGTGTTATTACTCAGCTCTCAATGCTGAAAGTTACACAGCCAGTTAGTTGACCTTGGTCTTCCCCATATTACCTGCCTTTAAACTTCACTTAAATAGTATGTGAACTTATTAATTGCATTTGAGAAATACATTTTAAGTATATTTTGAGAAGTAAATTATAATAAACTAATGAAAAACTACATGTATATGATTTACAGAACCTACAGAATGTCACCAAACATCACACTGTGCTTGTACAGACTCCCCTTCTGTCTATGCTCGTCAGTGCCTGTTTAGTCTAACCTTTCTAACTGTTTTAGCAAAACAATGTAGTAATTGCATTATTTAATCACTAGACATAAATAAATTTACCATGCATTGTAGAAATTAAATGACTTTTAAAAACTGTTACCCAGACTTAGAGGAAGATATCAGAAGCAATGCAATGGAAAACCTTGCTCTTTAATAAATAAAATGTGTTTGTACTCTAAGTTCAACAAACAAGCCAAGACACTGGAAAATTTTAGGTTTTTGATAATTTTGTCTCCATGTGGAACATGCAATGCTTGTTTATGATTCAGATGTTATCCTCTTGCTAAGTGCTTCTTGTACTGCTGCCAAGCTACAACTTAATAAACCAGCAAATTCATCATTTCAGGTTGTGTTTTCTTCCTCCCGTGCTTCTTCCATTCAGATACATAGCAGATTTGTGGAAATTGTCAAAAAGTCCTTCTCATGTAACTTCCTTCACCTTTTGGAATAAACTTTAAGGGATGATAAGCTCTAATAGAAGTTTAACATTTCAACTATCCCATTTCAACTATTCATCTGGCTGTGACACAAATGGCTCTTTAGACTAGAGCTGATAAATGTATTTATTCAGACTTTTCCAAAACAGACACTGATGCAAAGAACATAGAATGAAATGTATTCTCTAAGAGAAAATCAGCACAAGGTTGCACAAATCTCATGTAAGCCTGAACATCTGGCCAAATGCCATAAAATTTGAGCATATCATCTGAATGGTTTTTGAAAATAATGTGTGTGACAGTCCACATTTGTGTCACATAAATAATTTAAACACTTGGCCCAAATGAGGAACAGCAAGACCTAGTTCTGTATAAATCCTCAGTAAATACTCAGCCAAGCTGTTGCCTATACCATTATTTGAAGAAAGAAACTGGAAAGAAGCAAATGATTAATATTCTTTACATTAAAATATTAATATAAAATTTAAACAAGCTCACAGAAAATGGTTATCTCACTGGGCAGCTGTACAGATGGATTGGCATCAAAACACTGCTTGCTCTCCTGTGTGTGCCTCCTGTTTGTACTCTGCTTTGCTTTTGCAAACAGTTGTAACAGTCTGTGCCTTGTGCACAGAATTGCTATTTTTAATGAAAAGCAAATTGTAAGAAAATATTTAAACAATATAAAAAGTGTGAATTGAAAACTCTGAGCAGTACTGATGTGTGTGCACATGCATGAATACAAACATGACATTTAAAAAAAAAAAAAAATCAGCAGGCAGTGTTACCATGGTGACCTTTCAGTTTGTAGAAATTCAAGCCCGTGGTTTATTTTGTGCTTTAGCACTTTTAGAGCTGTCTTCTCAAGAATTGTGTGTCACCTGTGTTTGCAGAGGAAAATGGGTCAGAAATGAGGACACCTTTTCTGCCAGGTTATGTGGCAAAAGTGTGAACTTGCTGACATATCCTGCTGACTGAAGTTTATGATTTCCCCCTCTGCCTCTTCAGGGCACTTTTTTCCTCCATTACTAACACCAATGTTCATGATTCAAAGTCATGAGAATGTGTGAAATAAACATTTTGTTTTGTTAGGTTTTCCTTTCAAGGGAGGAATTGATTTTTCTTTAATGGCCATGTTTAATATTCATGTTACAGATATATGTCGGAAAAGGACAAAGAAAAGTCCTGGCACTTGACCCACTAGCAACTGCCATTGGCTGTGTATGCAAACATCAGATGAATGTTCATAGCTAACAAGGGCCAGTTTACTCTCTTCTGTTTCCTTCTTCTGAGGGAACCCCACAGGTATCAACATGCACTTTGATGTGAATTGACTTTAAACCCTTACCCACTTAATGCAAATCAGTTGCAACTATATCATGAGGTTGAAGTCACAGAAACAAATAGTTCTCATGAATTGTTTGAATAGAGCATACAGCCTGAGATGTTGCTGTGATTTTCTGAGAAATGTAAAATCCCTTGCTGGAGAATGTAAGATGGAAAATCACAAGGTTTTTGTTTCAGAAAGGTACTAGATTCCCATGTACTTGTGATGTATAGTCTTGGTCTGAGATACTGTAGCTGTTACAGGACTGATTTTGCCTAGGGAACAGGTGGCTCTGGATGTCTAGGAGAAAGGAGTTTAATTTTTAATTTTTTTCTCAATTAAAAAATATTTTTTGCTAACTTGTCTATAGCATAACATGAGTGGAAACTTATCTTCAAGCATGCAGAGGTATGTCCAGAGACATCCAAACTCAGGTTTAATTTTGGGAATCCATAGTCAGGGCCTTCTACAGAGAACACTGTGCTCTGGGGTCCGTCAACATGATGCATGCATGATGCCCTAGTTCTGATAGGTTCCTGCAAATAATTTGCTCAGTCTGTCCACTCTGCAGACTCTGGTGTAGATGTAACTCACATTAAATGCGCTCCTCCAGGTCTGGCATAGCTGTCTGGAGTTTGACAGAGGCCAAGTTACCCTGCTGATAGGCCAGAAATTTTAACTTCTTCAAAGCTCAGTGTATCTGTAGCTGATCAGCTTCCATCACCTGAGCTAACACTGTCCATGTACCCTCCCAGCACAGACTCTCAAACAGCTCTGTTACATGTAGATGTGGGTTCAGTGTGTTTGGCATTTTAATGATGGGGGGGACCACAGTTTTCAAGCAAATCACAGAGTTCATCAGAAGCCAGAGGACCACAGGACTTCAAAGTGACCTTTTGTTTTTTAGTAGTCAATTTTATTGCAAGGTTTGACACTGCATAGGATCAATAACATGTTATTTCACTGCAGATCAAGATGGATTTTGATACTGGCTGTTTGCTCAAGTATCAGATTTATTCCTTCAGATATCCTCATCTGAGCAAGTTCTTTGTACATTGGCTCTGCAAGGCTCCGTTACTGGCCCTGGAAAGATGCTGGCTCATCAGACCCGTTTCAGACATCCACTACGGACTGAGTGCAGGCCCAGGGGACTAAGCTATCCATGTGGCAAAAGGCCTCTACTTTTGATCAAGTGAATCCCACCACCAGTGTGTGCTGGTGAGGCATCTGGGCTACAATAAGGTCTTCTGCACGGCAGAGAGGGCAGTCTACATCTGCTGTTGGCTCAGCACAGGCAGCACCTTGCAGAGCCCCTAACTATGGCAGTGAAGAAGTGAGATGATCCTCTTCCTCCTGAGCAGGCTAGCATATACTCTGCTGGGCTATCAACCCTCTGCTTGGATGGGGATAACTGAAGGAACAAATCTGATTCTTGAGCAAACAGACTATCAAAATCTGATTTTCATTTGTTAGTCACACTGTGTATCTTGAAGGAGAGGCTGGTTTCTACTGGTGCGCAACTGGTTGTACCAGTCACACCAGGGTGATAAAGCTTGAGTTTTGAATAGCTGTCAGCACAGAGGTGTGTATTCCAAGCAGTGCTCAGAGACGGATGTTTGCTAAGGGCTTAGGGTCCCTCTGGTGTGTGACCACTGATTGGATGGGACAGTTGCATAAAGAACCCCACAGTAAGACCAGTCTCCATCGTCCGAGAGAGCCCTGAGGCAGTTCCTGTTCAGAAGAAAGCCAGACTCCAGCAGCAACATGTCTCAGCTGGAAAATGCGATGGGCATGACCATTGCTGTCTTTGACAAGTATGCAAAGACTGACGGCAACAGGCAAACCCTCACCAAAGAAGAACTAAAGACCCTCCTGCAAAAAGAGCTCCCAAACTTCCTCTCGGTAAGAAAACAGTGTGGCGTAATTTCTATGTAGCGGGTTCAAGGGCTGCCTGCAGACACAGGTTTTAGTATATGCAATGGTTTGTAGAAAAAAAAATAAATAAAAAAGTCTTTGCACATATCGTGTAAAACTGATTCAAATATTCAGGACCATTCCCTGTTTACTAAATTCATCATTGGATTTATCCGGACAATGACTTTGAAATAGATTGGGTTTCATTTTCACAATTCACCTACTTCTCTTTATCCCTAGATTTACCAGCTCACATCATGTCACAACTGCTGTGAAAGTAGTTATATTGTTGGCAGTTGAAGATCTGGAATGAAGATGGGGAATCTCTCTAAATATTTATACACTTACTTTCTCTAGGTATTTATACTACATACTCAGTATGCTCATCAAAATGATGAATAAACAAGAACAACAGATGAACTCAGGGCAAACTGTTTTGCATTTGTCTTTAATAGTAAAAGAAAGACCTGAAAAAGTATTTTACAACATAGATTTGTATGTAATCATCAGGTGCATTTAAGTAGGTTTTATATATATATATAAATAAAATTTCTCTTAGTAGGTATTCAAAACTCTTAATATATTATAGTAAAAGCTTAAGCTGCCCAGGAGACAAAGTGCTTTTCAATTGTTTTTTATTTGCTTCCCTTCACTAAAAATCCAGAAGACACTTTTAAACGTCTTGTTCTTTCCACACAGGAGTAATGTTTATCTATCTGTACAGTTATTATTCTTAATTACAAAAGCCTAGAATTAATGTTCCAAATGTGGCTACCACTTTTTGTATCCAGCATAATTCAATTTTTTAACAACAATTTCAGGGCACTGCAGCTAGGATACTAGATACGATTTAGTATCTTTCCATGCAAGCTATATGAAATCCATGCCTGCTGGATTTATGACTCACAAACGAAACACAGATGCAATACTCAGAATAAGAACCTGGATGGCTCTGGGGGATAAATGAAAATGTCCCTGAAAGAACTCTGTAAAACGGATCAGTGTTTGTGACCCAGCAGTGTCATAGGAACCGTCCTGTTCCTGATCATGGCGCTGTATGTTACCTGCAGCATTTCCACATAAAGAAAAATGAATCCAACAACAAAATTGTAATGCTAAGAGGGCACAGAAATCCCCCAGAAACTTGGTATTTGATCTAAATAAAGGTGGGGAGCCGCTGCACTAGACAGCTACCAAATGGGATGTTGCTCAAAAGTAATTCCTGACTATGTTTACTGGCCAGGCACCACCTTTTCCAGTTCCCCAACAGCTGCTCTTACTGGCTCTCTTTATTTACTGAAACTGCTGGAAAAAAAATGGAAATTTCCAGGAAGATAATTAGCTGAATGTCTTCTTACGTTCTAGTCTCCACCTTCCTTTCCCATTTTACCTATTCTAGGAAAAAGAAAAAAAAAAATGCACAAAATAACATTTTATGTCAGTACTTAAAATAAATGTAAACCAACAATGTCCTGTCTTGCAGACTAATAACTGCAAGAAAAAAAATGAGAATATAAGGCTGACTTCAGAAAAAAAGTTTTACCTTCATTTTCCTGACATTTATATCTATATTTTTTTATTTGCAAGGCTGTTCCGGGAAACAGAGTCTTTTAAATACTCACGTGTATTTCTGGTCTTAGAATTGGTTATAGCTGACACAGCTCACAACTATCTGGAAAGGTCTTGAATCAGTCAGAAGCAGAAATAAATCCATACCACAGGACTGAAGGGTTGGACTCGGTTATAAAGAGTTTCCAGAATATAATTCCCACATGTGCAATTCCGAAGTAATTCAGAGGCTAAAACTAGTTCGTATATTGCACTAAATAATTTAAAATATTCACTCATAAAATTAAAACTGATTGTAATTTGCAAAGTGAAAAGGAACAAAACCTTCCAGACACATTCATCAGTCAAATCTAGGGAACTGGTTCAATTTTTAGTGATTCTAAAGGTGCATATATTTAAAGTGAAACGTGAAATTACAGAATGCAAAATTTAGTTAATTGGACCATGATCAAGAAGTGCTTTCAGATTTCAATTAAGGTAGTAATTATTTTAAATTCATAGAAATTTTCCAAAAGTTTATATAATTTATTTATAGAATAATATCAGATTTATTTTTTGTTTAGCTTTAACAAAATTCCCATGGTTGTTTCCTGTATTAGATAGGTCTCTACTGACATCCCCTGTTTATTTTTAAAACTACGTTTTCTAAAATCATGAGAAAATTAGTGCCAGGACTTAAGCCAAAAAGCCCCCCCCGTAAGCTACCTTAAAATTTTTTTTTTTTTTTAATATATACATTTTGACAAAATTAAAAAAAATAATAATCTTTTTAGTTGGATGATGCCTTGCTTAACATCAGCCTCGAGATGTACTGGTTCAGTCAGTCCATCAGAATGATGATAGCTTGGAAAGAAAAACATGTTTCTGCTATTGTTCGCTGCCGTAACTCAAGCTCAGCATCTCAGCATCACTCTTGCTTCAGGAGGTGCCTTCCCCGGCGCCAGAACCTGTGAGCGGCTTGTGCCGGGCACCAAGGCCAGAGGGAGCACGTGAAGCACTTTTGAGGCTGTTTGTATCTCTGCTAGGGCAGTGGTGCTTAATGAAGCTTATATTTGATATTTGCCCCAGGAAGGCATCATTTTGCAAAACTGCAAATTGCCCAAGCTCCAGCCAAGCCTTTCCAGGGGAGCAGATGGGGAATGCATGGCATTTAATTCAGCTGGGTAATGTCCTCAGGGCTTTACATTACACAGCTTTAATCATGATAAATGTTGTTTTAAACATAGAACACATGCCTCTCCATGCTGGTGCGTGACCACAGTGCTCAGGTATAATAAACCCAAGAGCACATGCTTTCTTTTTTTGGGGAGGGGGTAAGAGGTGGTGTGCTCACTGCCTCCCTGCAGAGGGTGGGAAGATGTGGGTGTGCACCCATGCCATGAGGATGCTGAGACTCACGTTTGGTCCTGCTGTCCCCCAGTGCTCCCAACGGGGGCCTCAGGCCAGCAGAGGCAGGATTTCCCACGGGAAGGGTGTGCTTCCCAGGCAGCCAGAGGAGGAGACGCATGGCTCCCACCGAGATGGGCGAGCGGAGGTACAGCAGTCCCACGCAGTCCCACGTCCCGTGCTGGGTGCTGAGCAATTGTCTCGGCCAAACACAATGCGAAGAAACTCGTGGCTTTATACCCAGAGATAAAATGCAAAAAAACAAGCAAAGAGAAGTAAAAGAAAAAAAAAAAATAACAAAAAAGCAGGTCTCACTAACAGAAAATATGATAACCAGATATTCTGGGCAGGCCTACGGCAGGGCTGCGAGCAGAAGCTGTTACACCTCCATTACACCTCCACCTCCCAGGCAACTCAATTGAAATCCCCCATGGAAAGGTACGGTGTGTCTGAGCTGGCATTGGTGCCAGCTCCCCGGGGGCCCCCCCGCCACACCTCGGCGAGGGCCCAGAGTCCCACCAGGGCCCTTGTCGGGTGTGGGTAGTGACGCTGCTGCGTTAGGGTTTGTGCTGCCGCTCACCTCAACCTGCTCCTTTTCTTTTGCAGTCAGGGAAGGACAAGGATGCTATCGATAAAGTCTTCAAGAACCTGGATGCAAATGGCGATTCCCAAGTGGACTTCAAAGAATTTGTCATCTTTGTGGCATCTCTGACTTGCTGCTGTCACAAATATTTTGAGCAGAAAGCAGCCAAATAATTGTCAAACTGCACACAGAAGCCATCTTGGCCTGTGCTCCATATGCTAGTGGTATGGATCCCTTCACTTTGTCTGTGTACTGCCATGCAGTTTACAAGCATGCTGGGCTGTAAAAATAAATCCTACTGTGCTTAATTCTCTGTCTTGAATGTTAATTTCTGTTGCCTTGTAGAAGAGCCTGACTTTAACAGCTCCCACTAACTCATATTGAGCAGTTTCTCTGTTTCTCTGCTTTTAAAAATTCTATTCTTAGCCAAAAGACTCGATATTCATCCCACTGCAGAAGCTGCACAAGGGTAAATGCTGCTGGAGCCATGAATCATCTGGAGGCTGCTTTTATATAGCAGCATCTCTGGGATGCAGGCCACTGAGCTGAGGCTGCAGCCCAAGTCCACGCGTGTGCTGCCACGGCTGTGACGGTCTCACCGGGGCTGCCTTTGAGCCGGAGTGGTACCCTCAGCTGTGCGGTTGTTGCAGGACTGCCATGTAATCTCCTTCGTGGTTAAAAAAAAAATATATGAAACAAATCCAAACGCTTGTTTGGGGTTTTTTTGCATCATAGAGGATTCTGTGCAGCTTTATGTGCTGGTGAACGATCTCATCCAGCTCATATGGATTTACTTCCTATAACAGAATATGGCTTTTGTACCAATATAATGATATTACTCTACCATTGGCAATGTAGGTAGGGTTGTATGCTATAACAATTCTATTTTTAAAAAAATTAAACACCCCCCCAAATAGCATGCCATAATATTTTTTCCTGAAGCAAGATTAATGGCAACAATTATTGCTTCTTTAACCAAAAAACATCCGTGCAGAGAAGTAGAAGAGTTTGCTTTCAGTGGAGCTGGCAACAGACATCAGCTGTGACTCTGCAGCTGGAGCAATAGTGAATCATTCTGTATTTTGAAGTGCTTTGCAGGTGAAAATCCCAGTGCAAATTGCAAAATCATCAATTTTAGTTCCTTTATCTTCAGAACAGTCCTGTTTGGTGCTATTCCAATCTTATGCCAAGAGCCAGGTCATTCCCTGTCCTACTACACACGTGAACACGCTGTGCAGGTAGAGGTGCTGCAGCTCCCCATGCAGCTGCACACTGGTTTTGTGCAGGGCTCTGGCTCCAGCTGGAGGCCACAGGAGACCATCCAGCACAGCAAGCATAGGAACAAGAGCTCTATAGGTGCAGATATCCCCTGCTTTAACTGGAAAAACATTTTCATTTTCCTGCTGAAGCCTGGTACAATGAGCTAACTGACCACAGTCACATACCTGGAGCTGGAACAAGAACCTAGTTTCACTGTGTTTCCTGAGTCTGAAGTTAAGTCACAGGGTTGACCCATTCATAACCATATACAAGCATACATATGTTTAAGTGTATTCATCTTTTGGGGAACCTGCTGGGAAAAGTTTGGGTTTATTAAATTATTTCAGCCTGTTTTATCCATTACAGGTGTCCTTTCTTCTAGCTGTCTTTGGTTGCTCAGTTTGGCTGTACCAACTAAACACCACTTAAAACTTCATTCCTAATTCCAAGGGCACAGTGTCCCAATGCACTTTAACGGACGTGCCTGCCGGCTGCTTTGGCAAAGGCCCTGCTCTCATCTGCCCCAGCACCGTTGGGTCAGATCAAGCAATCAGGGGCCAGGCTTTCCTTGGCGAACATGGCTCTGTCCCCCCCAGAGCTGCCCAGCCCCTCAGAGCCTCCTGTCCCCCTTGTGCTACACATGGCTGGTGCACACACCAGCACACACCTGGCACAGACACCCACAGAGGGGTGCCCCCACCCGAAAAGCATCAGAGCTACAAGTGGCAGCAGCGGCTGGCACAGCTGCAAATGGCACTGCAATGGGTGCTGTTAGCCTGTGGCCACTATTAAATGGGAGACCATTATATGCAACCAAAAACTAGTGAGTGTTGCCCCACATTCATGCCTTCTCCCTGGCACCTTGCTGAGAACAGATTCCCAGCTTAACAGGGACATACAACAGAAAACTAATGATTCCTCATTCTCTAACAGACTTCACAAACTAGTATTTGTGTGTGCAAGAGATCTCTCCAGAGCCAGGAACCATGCACGTGTGTGTCTGCCTGCGGGTGGGAGCATGTCTGTCCCCTGCCAAGAGGGGCAGCAGGGGTTTGTCTCCACGCCAGCACTGCTACAGAGCAAGCTCTTGCAACCAGCCGTTTTGAGCAGGGGGTCTGCCTTCTAGTCCCCAAACCCTTGTGACATACAGTCATGCTGAGCAACACCCAGAGGGTTGCTGAGTTCCTGGATGGCTGGAGATGAATTGCATCACATATGCTACACTTGCAGAAGTAACATTACTTGCTTTATTGGCAACAGTAATATTTCTCTGAACTACCTGAGCAAGAAAACTACTAATGGTGAAAATGTGCAAAATTCGTCCCAATACAGGGATCCCAAATCAGCCTTTTTTCCAGAGACTACTCTGTATTATTTCAGTTGTTTGAGATATTTTTAAAGCTCTAATTCAGTACATCCCTGCTCGATGGCTGCTGTGCAGCTCATCACTTGCAAGGGCTGGGAGATTCCAGTATCACATCTCTCACTATTTTGTCAAGGCTATAAATAAGCAAAGCGCTCTCCTTATTGCAAAGGAAGTTGATCATAAATTACAGAGGTAAACTTCATTGGGTATCTAGATATCTAGTGGTATAAATCACATTCAGGTGAGGAAATTTAGGTGATACCTGTCACCAATTGATTGGTCTATCCTAATTTTTTTAAAATATATTTTTCCTTTTCCAAATTTAGCATTAATATTTGAAAGGGTTCCTCTGTGTTGCTTCATAATATCCATCCTCACTGAAATTATTTTTTTAACCACAGTGTGGCACTAAATGCAGTCTTTTTATTACCCACTGAGGCCAAAATTCCATTTATCATTATTGAGACAGAATATAAAGAAATTGTGTTAAGATTTTAAAAATTCCAAGAGTGTTCTTAACATCATGGCAATTTTATTCCTAAACAAATAACATATGTCCCATCAAGAGCATTTCACTGATTGCAGTGGAAGCAGCAGGAGCAGAGAGCCAAGCAGAGGCTCCATCTCTTGGGCTTTTGGCAAGGTTTAGCTGCACCACCCCAGTCTTACCCTTGTGAAAAAGTCCCCTGTTGTTTGTAAATTGCAAATCCCTTGTGCAATTTATTGTAGTATTGTTCTACACCCCATTAAGATCGTTTTTAAACCACATCTCTTAAAGCGAATGTTGGTGGAAAGCTCCTGCCTTGTCAGCCAAGAGATCCACCTTATTACTCCATTTTATCTATTAGATTTTTAAAACTACACTATTCAGCAATGAGAGCTGTAATGTACCCCACATTTCACTCATGTCTTAAACATCCAGCCCCCGGTGTCTGACACCCACCCAATTTCACTCACCTGCTAATGCCATTTTGCCCATTTTCCTGATACTGTGCAGATTTTTTCTGTGCTTATAGGGCACTTGAAGACTTGGTTTACTCTGCTTATCTGCAGTCCTGTTCACAGCAGCCCACAGCTGCCTTGTAACCGCTTCACCTCCCAAAATAGGCACCAACCAGCTGTGATGAGCTCGAGCCCTCACTTCCATGAAGGAGTACCTGAGCCACCCCGAGCCATCAGCTCAAGTATGCTATGAAACGAGTGAGATGTTATTTTTCTCACTGTTCCTGCAGGCCCCAACCCTGTAAACTCTTACACTTGTGCTGAACTCTGGTTCAGCCCCCTGGTCCCACCGGTACCTGTGGGGACACCCGGAGAGCTTGAAGATGGTGCCAGGAGCACACACAGATGCTGTGTGCTGCTTTGCTAACCAGAGGGAACTGTGCATGTTCAGAGCTGCAGAAAGACTGGGAAGAAAGGGGGTTGGTGGTTTTTTTTTTTTTTTTTCCCTTTTTCCCTGCAGATCTTTCAAAAGCTGTAACTTGGTGCTGAATATTCATTTCAATGTAGTATTGAAAATTCAACTGATGACACCTCAGAGAGAAAATGATCCAGGAATAAAGGAAATTAACATATAGCTCCCACCTTACCATAGAACAAAAGTGACTTTTCAGAATATATTATTTAGCCTAAAAGCATTTGAGCAGAGTGACTTTAATATCTTTCAATCCACTACTTTCCTTCCCCCGTATTATTAATTTTCACTATGAACCTACAGTTTACCCAGAATATATTGTGTATTTCCTTCCCTGGGTAAAATTTTGTCATTCAAGGTTCAAGCTGCAGAGATGCTAGACCTGGGTTTATATCTACCATTTAATCTCAGCTCTTAGGCCTAAATGTATTATGTAGGATGAGATAGTTTAAGAAACTGTATAGGCAGCTCTAAGAGAAGGGAAAAGACAACATAAAAAGCAGCTCAGCAAATATGAACTAACAGTTGTGGACAGCACATGTTTGAGTTATGTTTTTAGTTATGTTGACAGAAAGTAAAAGATATGGAAAAAGATACTACCAGCAAATTATGATATGGGAAATCATTGAATCATAGAATGGTTGGGTTGGAAGGGACCTTAAAGATCACTTAGTTCCAACCCCCCTGCCATGGGCAGGGACACCTTCTACCAGACCAGGGTGCTCCCAGCCCCGTCCAACCTGGCCTTGAACCCTTCCAGGGAGGGGGCAGCCACAGCTGCTCTGGGCACACTGTGCCAGTTCCTCACCACTCTCACAGTGAAGAAACATTATCTGTGATGAGTTTCAGATTAGGCAAGGCTTAAAGGCAGAGGTCAGAAAGTCAGCTAAGCAGCAAATCAGTCAATAGGTATTTTTGTTGTCTCATACAGAAAAAATATAAATCTGTATTAACAGTAGACACCTTCTATAGATTACAATACTTCAGTATCCATAATTGACATTTTGAAATTTGGTGGGGTACTGCCAAGATTCTTCAGTTTTTAAAATGACATATTGAAATCTTATTTCTGAGTGTATGTACAGGAGAAAATAGGTGTAATGTTACCTAACCTTGAAGTCACTTGTGGTCACTTACATTATGGTTTTACCTGGGAAGGTTCCTCATTATTTTACCTTCAAGTTCACTGAGGGTCATTGAAAAAAAATAATTCACTCAGTCAAACATAGTGTTTATCTCCCCACCAACCCCAGTTTGGGGCTAGAAAC